CCGCCAGCACCCACACCCGCCCACCGGCACCCACACCCGCCCACCGGCACCTACACCCGCCCACCGGCACCCACACCCGCCCACCGGCATCCACATCTGCCCCACCGGCACCTATACCCACACACTGGCACCTACACCCGCCCACCGGCACCCACAGCCACACACACCTGCCAACAGGCACACACAGGCACCCACATCCGTCCACGGACACCCATAGACACCCACAACCGCCCACAGGCACCCAGAGACACCCACAGGCACCCACACCCACCTGTCAACAGGCACACACAGGCACCCACATCCGTCCACGAACACCCATAGACACCCATGGACACCCACAACCGCCCACGGGCACCCACGGGCACCCACAGGCACCCAGAGACACCCACACCCACCTATGGACACTCACAGGCACCCACACCTGCCCACAGACACCCACGAACACCCACACCTGCCCACAGACACCCACACCCACCCACAGACACCCCCAAACTCCCACAGTGACCCCCAAACCCCTACAACCTCCCCACAGACACCCACACCCTCCCACAGACACCCCAAACCCCTACCACCTCCCCACAGACACCCACCCCCACCCTCCGCACCCCCAGAGCCGCGTGCCGCGCCGCCTGTCACCTCGCGCGTCACCCCGCGGGTACCTTGCGGTCGCTGAGCCCCGAGACGGTGTCGACGTACTCCTCCTGGATCATGAAGGCGGCCAGGTTGGCGGTGTAGCTGGCGAGGAAGATGACGGCGAAGAAGGCCCAGACCAGGACCATGATCTTGCTGGTGGTGCCCTTGGGGTTCTCCACCGGCACCGAGTTGTTGAAGACCAGGGCCCACAACAGCCAGATGGACTTGCCGATGGTGAACTTGGAGCCACCGGCGCCTGGGGACGGGGACGGCGTCACCCCAGGGATGGGGTCGTCGTGGGGATGGGGACGGTGTCACCGTGGGGATGGTGTCACCGAGGGAATGGGGATGGTGTCACCGCGGGGATGGGGATGGTGAGAATGGAGATGGTGTCACCGAAGGAATGGGAACGGTGTCACCGTGGGGACGGGGACGGTGTCACTGCGGGGATGGGGATGGTGAGGATGGGGATGGTGTCACCCCGGGGGTGGTGTCACCATGGGAATGGGGATGGTGTCACCGCAGGGATGGGGACAGTGTCACCATGGGAATGGGGATGGTGAGGACAGGGACAGCGTCACCCTGGGGACGGTGTCACTGTGAGAAAGAGCATGGTGGGGATAGGGATGGTGTCCTCCCAGGGATGGTGTCACCATGGGGACAGGGACAGTGTCACCATGGGAATGGGGATGGTGAGGATGGGGACAGTGTCACCCCGGGGATGGTGTCACCATGGGGACAGGGACAGCGTCACCGTGGGGATAGGGACAGTGTCACCCTGGGGAAGGGGATGGCATGGACAGGGACAGCATCACCGCAGAGACACTGTCACTGTGGGGACAGGGACGGTGTCACCCCAGGGACGGTGTCACCACGGGAATGAGGGCAGTGAGGATGGGGATGGTGTCACCCAGGGAAGAGGGACAGCATCACCCCAGGGACAGGGACAGTGTCACCACAGGGACAGGGACAGTGTCACCACGGGGATGGGGGACACCCCCGACACCCCCCACCCTCCTCGGGGACACCCCGGGGGTGAAGCCAGCGCTGTGCCGGGGCAATACCATGTCCCCCGTCTCTCTGCTTGTCACCCCGAGCGTGTCCCCGCCACCTGTCCCCCCCTCCCTGGGTGACACGGGGCTGTCACCCCGCTGACGGCGGAGCGGGGAGGTGACACACTCACGTTGGCCGGCTGCCAGGCTGCGGTTGTAGCCCACAGGGCTGAAGTACTCAAAGATGAAGACGGTGACGGCCACCACCGTCAGGCACATGACGAACATCATCACCCAGACGGCCGGGCTGTAGGGCTCTGCGGGGGAACAAGGAGGGGACACCCCCGTCACCCGCAGGCTGGTGGGGTGTCCCTGTCACCCCTCCGGGTCCGCCTGTCCCTCCCGTGTCCGTCCGTACCCAGGAAGGCGGAGGGGGAGACGGTGCCGTTGCTGCGGGACACCATGACGCTGATCCCCGTCTCCACGAAGGGGACGGAGAAGTCGATGATCTCCGAGCGTTCCTCGTTAATGGTTAACGAGCCGATCGCCATGGCTCGGCGGTAAAAGACCTGGGGGGGGCGTGGTAAACATGGGTGTGGTCAACATGGGCGTGGTCAAACAGGGGGTGGGATCGAGGTGGAAGAGCCAATAAAAGGGCAGGGATGGGGCAGGGCGA